TGAGTTATGATTATTTTTTTGTAGCGAATATGAAGTAAACCAAAAAACCTATTTTAATGTTAGCAGTTCCTCTCACTTATTAATAAAAAATATAATATCACTATTAATATGGTAAAACTGTAAAATATCTATACATAGCTATTATAGGTATATAGGTTGTAGTTCAAATTGTATAATATTTGATTATGCTTGTAGGTACCGTGGTCATCTTTTATTCATTATCATTGTTTTTATAAATTATGCAATGCTGCACATGCACATGGACATGGTTGTTAAAAACCCATTACCTCCTACCAGTCCAACCGTGTTTATTAATTGTTATTATTTGTCGTCGCCCGTGTTTATACCTACCTACTTTTATTAAGTAGTTATAATTGTTTATACAAATAGAAAACTGAGTTATCAACTTAAATATACCATTCATAATATCAGCAGCCAAATTTCTGGCAGGGAGAACATCGCCATAACTTAACGTCGACATAACTCCCAAATTACACCGAACGAGTATACAAGAGCCTATACCCGTTAAGTGAATAAAAAATAAATAAACAACGGAGCAATGTGCATACCGATCTCGCGGATTAGGAATATATAGCCGAGCCGCGAGATCGCCCGGGGCTCACGGGTCTTGAAATATTATGAAAAGTTGGCGAGCGCATTGGTGGCCGTGAATCGGGTCGGCTAACGCGGTGTGTGACCTCGGGTCGGTCGGGTAGCCGGTGGCCTCGATCAAACGCTGTATCTATATAATAATAATAATATAATAAAGCTGATATTAATGAAAATAATATGTTATATATTATTATCATTATCCGTCCAAGGCCTCGGCGGCGGTAGAACATTATGTGATACTACCTATTATAATATTGATATTATTATGTGGAGGTGTTCGGCCGGTCGCGGGCTCGTACGCAGCATCGTCCATCGCCTTCGCGTCGTCGTCCCGTCTGCCAATATTTTCGTCGGCCGTTCGACTCGTGACCGCGCCATGTGTCAACGAACCGCGTTCCACAACAGTCGTATCGCACGTATTATTATTGGTATTACCGCTAGCAATCTGTCGTAAAAAAAAATTACAACGTTTAAAAACTTTAAAATGTAAATACCACACGGTAAATAATTACCTACTCATTATTTGTAATGATTGACGGGAAATCTGAAACATATTATAAATAGTCTTAAAAACCCGGACTCCAATAGGTGTAGCCGTGTAGGTAATGATTGTAGAATGGATCGTTTGGGGCCATAGTGTTAGAACACCAAAGCGTAGAATGCATGCGTGTGTTGTGATTTCCTGCATTCTGAATATAGGTATTATAATATACAGGTATTTACAGCTATATTGTAGGGATATTTGTTTTTTGGCACTCTACTCCGCATTCACCACATCCGCGTATTAATGATGTACATTTGCTGCCAAAAAAAAAAAAAAAAAACGTAAAAAATATTTAAATATTACATTATGTAAATATATACTTACCTGCATTATTATCACAGTTTATAATCTGTGATATCTAAAAAAAATGCACTCCACTTTTATTAGTAACCATACACAGTATATAATTTTATTATAACGTAGACAAATATACTGCTAAAGCCTATAGAAAAATTAATATTGCAATATTTGAAACTCGCGGCATGTGCATATACCTAGAAAATTAAAATAGATACATCGTTATTCAATAATAAAACAGTTTTAAAAAATAAACACACTCCTATTATATTACCTATATTATATAAACATTAAAAATGTAGATCACATAAGTCCGTCGCACTCTCACAACCGCATATATACAGTAACAGGTAAATCAAAACAAAAAGTGTAGGTACCATCAACTGTCAATTCATGGTTTTTTCTTAAATATTTTCTTTTTATTCTTTTTAACTTCTATAAAAATAATTTCTTCTTACCAATTAACTATCATTGTTTTTTCATACAAACTGTAATTTTTCATAATAAAACCTTTTGAAAATCTTGGGACCAAAACCGGACCGGAACCCTTAAATACATTTTTTTTAAGAACCGAAACCTAAATTTTGATGTACAGGTTATTTCGGGTTTTGCTGTTCTCTAATCCAATAGTTATTTTATCTACAGTAGGTTAAAATGTTCTAGGTTAGGTTTAATAATATAAGTTAATAAGTTAGTTATTACTTATTACTTATTAGTTATTAGTAATAACAAATAATTATAAAACCATATACCTATAAGAGTTTATCAATACTAAGAAATAAGAATATTACTATGACATATTGTGTACAACAGAATTGTCATAAAACAAATTCCAAAAATCCAAAATATTCTAATTTCCATGAAATCGATAATAAGCCTAGTATAGACTTCAATTTTATTATTATTGAAGTGCAAATCACAATTGCTGATGTAGAATTTCTGAAAATAATAACAGTCTATGTTTCAGAGTCATAATACAATTGTTATCTAACTAATATGTCTGCGGTGATATGTACCAAATGTGGGTATTCGACATTCGTATATGGGTTAATATTAAGTCAATTTTTTTACTATACAGTAGGTACTTAATTGATAAAAATAAAATAAAAAGCAAAAGTTAGGTAAACAAAAAGGGCTACAACCGATATTAACTGAAACCGAAACTTTCGGTTTTTGAGAACCCAAACCTAAACCCAAACCTAAACCCAAACCCATAAAATCATGAGGTTTCCAGTTCCTGCTACAGATAGATGGATTATAATAAAATATAACATACACTAATTATTTTGATGTACATTATAACCTAATTTAAAACATGTGATCAATTGTCACGTTTTTCTTACTTATAACATTAGATGAAATAGTACAAAATATTGATTAAAAAGTAAATCTTCTTAACAATCTACGACCATTACAATACGAGCGGATCAAAACCACCCTGATCCATGCACATTATTATCAATTCTCCGTTATCACTATAACTAACAGATAACATTTAATATCTAAAATATAATATTATTTTTCATAAAAAGAGAATTATACTATTAATTTGATCATTTGATTTATTATTTAATATCGAAATTTGATTTACTTATAAACTAAAAACTTAGGTAAATTCATTAAAATTAATTAGAAAAAGTATTATTTATCGAGGCATTTGAATAATTAATACATATTTTTCGGGACATTGACTTTCAAGCCCAAGTAGTAGTTTAAATGTGTATTTACATTGTACATTTTTTTCGTGAACCCCTCATATAAACAAATATTTAGCAGTAAATATCAGTATTTTCTTGAAGAAAAAAACATAGGAAACACGTAAATACGTAAATTTCAAAGTTCCTATCTAAATCTTGTATTTTTTGTCATTAGAATTAATTAGATACAAAATGTTAGTGTAACTTGTATCCACTTACAACTAAACAAGGAACTTGTTCATCACTAAAAGAAACAAATTTTTAGTTAATTGTACTTGAATTCATATTTACGAAATACCCCCACCAGTAGGCATTCTACTCAATGTTCGAGATGGTTCCCTAGTTTTTTGTAAATAACTTACTCTGAACAAGTTCCAAGTGTTTTATGTATATCGTCGATATGTCTTCGTAGTATTGTGGTTTAGGAAAATTTTTGTCACATATATGGCAACAGTTTTCACCCTTTTGTTTTGTTTTTTTTATCCATATTGCCCAAAAAAAGTTAATAATTATATAAAACAGTACTCAACGGTAACTCAACAATAATAATTATTTTTTGTACATAATCCAGAAAATATAGTAAAATGATAAGAGGAAATGATAAGAGCATCATTCGAAAAATGTTTTGTTATAGAGATAATGGAGAATTGATAATAATGTGCATGGATCAGGGTGGTTTTGATCCGCTCGTATTACATTGACCTACCTACTGTACAGCAGAGCGACACCCACCGTCCCATTTTTTTTTTATTACTTATAACAAAAAATTATAAGTTATCAAATTACGATACATAACAAATTATATCTTGGAATAATTCACCTGAATTCGCTAAAAAAATAATTATGATAATAATTGAAAATTAAACCAACTTTTGATCAATTTTAATTTATTGTTTTATTAAGTTTTTAATTATTTCAAACGTTGAAATTCACCTGTATTTTGTGCACTCAATATAAGTATATTTCAGCATTTACGTATTCAACTAGAAATTAACAATACGATTTTGACTGTCTTTACTTATATTATATGTATCATAAGAATACTTATTATTTAATATAGTAAACTGTGTGTGACAAGTGTACACATGTGTTAAACAACAAAATAGGTATAAAGCAGGCTGCTGCCTTACTAAAAATATTTACAGACATTTATTTCTAAGCACATTATTTATATCGTCACGTTGTCAGAGAATTTCTCAAAAAATAATAAAGGAATTTGATAGGTTGGTATTTACCATTTACCTATTCAAAATTCAAATCGTCGATCGTATATCGTATAATATGACTTGTGTACAGCTTGAACGACTTGATAAAAAAAAAAAAAAAAAAAATGGTCTAATACTTTACGCGTCAAAAATAAAATGCATAATAATATGTGCACGCATGCCATCAGTGTTAAACATAATAATATCGTAAATAGTTGTGAATATCATCTGAAAAATAGCAAAGCGTTCAGATTCTTAGCACAATGCGTACGTTCGTGGGAAAAACCAACAGTTGGAAAATCACTCCACAAAAATGTATTACTGTAGGTACCTACATACGGTATACAATATTCGTAACGTACCGCGGCGGTCATTTTGAAGTCTTAATATGATAACTATATATAGTGCACATCGAAATCGCTTTGGAACCAGTTTAGTGGGTACACGACGAGTGTGTAGTACATTTGAGATAGCGTGTTAGTTTTCATGTAGACGTAGCAGTGGTCGAAGCGCGTGACGCTCGCAGGCTACGACTATAATATACTACCTAGTACTATTGCAGTAATTTTCGCGGTTCATTATCTTTGTTTTTTTTTTACCATTTGTGTTTATTTATTTCGACGGTCCTTAAAAACTATTTAATCAATGGTTATGAAACTTATTGCGGTGAATTTTTTAATTTGGTTTACATTTAATTGCCATGGACAGACAAAATCAAGAGAAAGTAAGCAAAAATAATAATACATATATGTAAGGAGGTTCTTTCGCATATAGTGAGTCGCGATATTGAAAATTATAAAGTAATCATATTATCATACACTAAATCAAGCATAAGTAATAACACGAAAGATTTTTTACCTATATTTTAATTAAAATTCTCATGATCGTTATTTCAAAAGATTTTATGATTGTCTTAGAGTCACCTATACATCAATACCTATAGTCTATACAGTAAGTAGGTATACAATATATTATTACACATTAATACATTTTAAATTGTTAAAAAAATACCTAGTTCTTTGTAGTTTGTAGGGTGATATACAATGTGTCTTTGGGGGAGGGGGGAGTGACCGGCTGCTGCCATATAAGAGTATATCTTAAATTACGAAAAAAACCCTTTGAAGAAGAGGGATAACTATATTATTTCTTTAAACTTATTTAACTTTTTTTGAAACAAAACAGAACTTATCGCACATTTGCTGATGTATGGTAGACAATCTCATCAAAACTATTATCGGAACATCAAATTTTTAACTTTTCACCTTAACATTTTTTTACATTTTAAAGTTATTTTAGTGTGCACAACAACTAATAAATAATGATAATTTATAGACTATAAATCATAACATATTCTTTATAGGAAAAATAATGAATGATATAATAATACTAATAACAACTAAGCAGTAATTAAATGTCACTTTATTCGCGTAAAAAAAATATGTATTAAGCTGCATAATTAAAATCTGATTAAATGTAATATCGGAGATGTACCTATTATACATAATATATAATGTGTAGCATTATATCTTAAGATAAGCCCATCATTAAAACAAAATTGTTTAATTCGATAAATATAATATTGTCAATTGAAAATACTCCGAATGTTCTACACACATAACTGCAGAAGGTGTAACAAAATATTATAAGCTGTTGACATTTTTTGCACTCAGCTCATTTTCCGGGTTATCATTTTTGTGGACCGGGTACTGATTTTTTGGAACGCATTGCTCGTGGTCAGCTTGGCATCAATAAGCTAGACGAAGCGTGCCGGTCACATGATTCAGTTTACACAGACAGTACGGATTTTCAATTGAGAATGGAAGCCGACATGAAATTGGAAACAGCAGCATGGGAGCGAGTGATAGCGAAGGATAGCAGTTACAAGGAGAAATTCGCTGCATGGATGGTGACAAACATCATGAAAGTGAAACGAAAGTGGAATACTCGACGTCTGCAACGGGAGTTTGGTAAAAAACGTAAGACATTTTTGTTGTATAAACATACATTACCTACGCACAATATGGGCTAACCTCGCCATCTACAAGACGAAAACAAATTATTGATAACGAATTCTACGACCATCGAACCTCATAAAACTTAGGTATAATTAACATATTGTGTCGTCCCGCCTTAAAAATGTAAAAACTTAACAAAACCTGTTTTACGAGGAAAAAACGAGAAGGTTAGGGTACCTACATTCATAAATGTGAAATGAAATTTTTACTACATAAATAGGAGAAATTTGGCTGTGAAATGTAGTTTTATTTTTTTGATATCAGAACTATAAAAAATGTTATTCAAGTTTGAAAAACAAAAAAATAATAACTTTTCAATCAATATGAACTTTTTTTGCATAAGTCATTCAACAAAAAAAAGGTGCTCTGCTGTACAGTAGGTTACAAGTGGGTCAATGTATAATGGATGGTATTAAATTTGAATTCAACGATATAGTATCATTGTATAAGAAAAACGATTCTGAGCGAATTTTAAATTTGATACATTTTGTCAAAATTCGATCTTTAATGCTTATAAAAAAAAATTGTGAATATGTATTAAAAATATTTTTCAACTGATATTGTAACAATATCAGGAGCATTGTATTTTTTTACACTTTTGGCCAACGGATAAAACTTTATTGATATTTATAGAAAAAAAAAAACTAAAAAAATTGAAACTGAAAATGTCCGTAAACAACTCAAAAGATTCAAAATATTTTCAAAATGGTATTTGTATAGGAAATGCTAATATAAACATTCGGGGAAATTTTCATGTATCTACAGTCATTCGTTTTGAAATTACAACAAAATAAGGAAATCGCTAAAACGATAAATCGAGTGAATATCCAATGTTGTACAAATTTGAATTTCAAACGATAGTAAAAATTAATTGACTTCTTATAGACATTTTTTTTTTTTTGATAAAAGTAGGTAAGCTATAATGAAATCTTGTATACATTTTAAAATCTTAGATTTAAAAAGAAAAATTTTTACGAATTCTTAACTCAAAATTAATTTGTTAATTTTCGTGATTTTCCATATTTGTCAATTTTTGAACTTTAATGCTTACTAAAAAAAAAACTGTGACTAAGGATTTTAAATATTTTTTATCTGCCTTGAAAACAATACCTAGGAGCTGTCTATTAATTTTTCAAGCTTTTTTAATTTTAATTGATATATTTTATAGAATAAAAACTAAAAAATTGGAAACTTAAAGTCCCTAAACAGCTCAAACTAAGTCTAATATTTTAAAAAAGGCTGGGTGTATAAAAGGCTAATATAAACAGTCATGTATACATGTATCTAAGGGTCATTTGTTTTTAGAGTTACACAAAAAACCAAATCGATTTCTCGAAAACAGATTTGCGGAAAAATCCCCGTTTTTCCTTAATTTTTCTTTGTTTTTTCCCGTCGCTTTTGAAACTACTGGGAAATTTTTTACTAGTGACTCCCCAAAGTACCAACTCGATTCATTTCCTATCAGAAAGATACTGTGAAGAAAATCCAAGCACTTTGTACTGTCCTAAAAGGTGATGACAGACACAAAAAAAAAAATTAATTAAAAACAACCTCACTTGTAAAATCAATACATTCATCGTTCCACTCATAATCTAAAAAATAAAAACTTTATTCACAGAGTAATGTTTCTGAACTATATCAATATTGTACATCAATTTGGAGTATTAACTAAAGCCTGATTGGTTCTATTCCCGCTCAAAACGTTTTTGCTATGTTTATATCTACATTGGTAGACAGAGACAACACAAGCGGGGGTAGCGTCCTCTTAAGAATTTTTAACATTTTACAATATTTCTAATACTTAAAATGTACGTACCTAAACTTACATTAAAACTAGTCGGTTGAACTGTGTCGATTCTAATGATTACCTACCAAAAAAACACTTGAACCTAGGTAGGTAGCTTATATTGCATTAATGTATTTATGTATATAATATAGGCATGCATCACATTTTTTTTTTAAATGCTCACTTTCTATTTTCTAAACAGATATGCTTATTATATTATGATAAAAGAGTATCAACACTCTCGATTCTCGATTCCACGTGAACTGTTAATAATTAAAATATTAAAGTAATAGGTAGGTATACTTATTTTATTTCGGACGAGACGCGGTATAAAAAGGACCACTGCGTTATTTATATTATATTATGCTTCGAGCGACTTTCTATAATATTATATTATTGGTAGCTTTGAGACGCGTAGGCTTGTACAATATTATTATTATACGATTTCGTTCCACTTACTAGACAGATTTTCCCTTCGATTTGTGTACAATATATTATAGTTCTTCGTCCATTTAATAGTAAGTTTATCGTTAACTGAAATATGTTCTCGTATTATTATAATATTGTTAACGATACCCCTAACGGTCGTTTTAAAACAAGAAAAATTGTGAGCAACAGTCAATTACATTTAATTATTTGTATTTCAGAAGTAATAATCATTACGAGTGCGTAGTATAAATGTATAATTAATAGCAAAAGAAAATATCCCTCGCAATGTATTATTAGTACCTAATAATAAGGCTGCAACACAATTGTGCATTTATCCTTTTTTGACCCGACTATTACTACATGATTGCGACCTAAAGTGTGTAATACTATTTTAAATCAATCCCTTTCCCTTAATAAAATCACAGCACGATTGCGCACCAAATTATAATATATACCTATACGTTACTATAATATATTATATATTTTATATACAAATGTACAAAATAAAATATAGGTATATAAGTAAATAATTTACCTATAAATGTTCTATACATTCTCTAAGGAACTAATTATTAATTCACAATTATCCTTCATGATTTCAGGATTAAGACAGACAACAAATTATCATGTTGGCTTGGTTAAACATTTTTAACCCTTTTTCTTCAACATTTTTGTTCTACATTTCATATAAAATATAAATATTATTATAACCAATAATAAATATATTTTTTGATCATATAAAAATAAAACATATTATGAATAATTAAACAATAATAATTTATGGTCACTCCTTAAGCATGTAATTGGGATGGAAAATTGTGAATGATAATTAGTTTTTGAGTGAATATATAGAAAGTATTTACGTAAAATATTAGCCTATGTATTTTAATATTTTATAATATATCATTTGAGGTGAATTGTTTTGTCATTTTATCGGATAAATAGGGATTGGTGTGAAATTGTGATATAAATGTGGGTGCGTAATCATGTTTTAATAATTCGGTTAAAAAAAAAAAAGGGAAAAGTGCCCATCGTAGACGAAAAACCAACATTTATAACAACACTGCTAAAATAATAAAATTGCTTTACATAAGCAATTATGACGTAATACAAATACCTTGCGAGATTTGTTTTTAGGAACTTACATTATACTAATTGCAGTGCCCCAAAAACATATAGATACTCTGCTTACAGCTCATATAGCGCAATGCATCTTGAACGTTTTATTTTCATATTTATCTGACTATCTGACTACCTATACATAACAAGACGTATAATATAAATGACCAACGAGAATGATCACAAATTTTTGATTATTGTGGATTGTTATTTAATAAAACATACCTTTTTTTCATGTACAATATAGCTAGTGAATTGTCTCCGGCAAACAAAAAACCTCGACGTTCAATTGATGACCACCATAAAACTTGGTTTCGGTACCGGTTATAATAACACTGAGATTGAAAGAAAATAATTTTCACTTGAAAATATAATACTAACAAGTAAGTACAGATTTTACAATATCACTGCATTATTGTTCCACGATTAGTCATTATAATTGAGACAATATAATATACATTTAAAATGCCACACTCAAATAATTCGATCCATAACCATTGATTAAATACAAATATAAAACTTATTTAATGTTTTTAATGACTGTGAGTTATATTATGTGTCGTAAACACAATAACAATGAAAACAACTTAAGCTATATTATGTTTTCACAGAGAACTGTTCCCAAGTGCAAATCGGCAATCTGTAATATAGTTGAACCTTGAAATTCAATAGGCAATGGAATGATGTTTAGCAACTACACGCTGTGATATTATGTTTAATTAAATAGATTTTTTTTTTGCGCTATAAGTATTATTATTATTGTGAGTTCCAAAGCGAAATGTAATAAGAATTGAATGACATAACAATAAATCTAAAGCGTTTTTCTCTGTTGAGTGTTCAACAATGTGCGAATGTGGAATTACATAGATTTAATGTATATATTATGTGGTTCGATGTAATATTTTTAACATAAGTGATTATGTATTATAATTTTTAATCTGTATGACTATATTATATTATAGGAGTACCTAGTCAATATAAATATATATTTTTTTCTTAAGGACAGAAGTTGTTTTTAAAATATGTTAATGATACCTATTACTGTAATATAATATTATGTATAATTATTTATTATAATTGTTATTTATTTTCTTACAACATTTTTATATTAACAATAATATTTTTTGTTCAATTTTATTTGGCAAATGACATATATCATTTTTTTTTTTTTGGTCGTGTTATAAAGTAATGGACATTTCCAATCATTATAAGTTAAAACTGTAATAATAATAATATAATTTACAGAATGGTTTTGTAGCTTTATTGTCTATACGCTACGCCGTGTTAAACACTTAAACGTCATTATGATCAAAAACAAGCTAGTCAGGAATCCAAGACCGGTTGTTGAGATTTTATATTATCATCTTGATACATTCACCTTGGCTCTGGATAGTTTTATATTAATTATTATACATTTGAACTCAATTATAAATAATCAAAGAATACTAAAAATAGATAATTTCAAAAAATTAGACGGTGAATAGCTTTTAAGAGACATAAGAAACTTTCAATTTTAAAATTGAATACAAGGTTCCTCGTAAGTTTTTATAAGTGTAATTTAAACAAAAATGTATTTTAACTTTTTCTGTACAATATTATGATATAATTTAAAAAACTATGTCGGTTTTTTGTGATCTATTTATGGACTTAACAATTTTCTATTTTTTTAATAACTATTTTAAGTTTTTTCTATAAATATCAATAAAACAATACATTTTAAACCTTTGGTAATAACAAAATAATTTTCAAATTAAAAAACTAAATTCATAACTTTTTTAGATTCTGAACAAAATGATGAATGTATTGTTATCTGTTGATGAATGTTTTATAATGATTTGTGTCTGCAGATACACCTTATTAATATAGAATCAGTAAAAAATACTTGGATTTTCAAGAGATTTTAATGTATGATTCAGATAGCAAATTCAAAATTGGATATAAATATATAATTGATACTTTAGGCCTTAGGGGATAACTAATCCAGAAAAACAAAATAATTTTTGGAAGAGCATTAATTTTTTAACAAATTTTTGACCTTATAAATTTATCGTGGCTTAACAAGTTAACAATAGTTGACTGCCCTACCAATTTCACTGATCTGGCCACGAAAGCCTTGAGTATCATATGTGCACTCAATAGTTTTACGAAACCGGGCGAGTATATATGATACTCGGTTTTTTTTTAGTGAAAATTTTATTAAGTATAAATATATGATATAAATCTCAAGTGTCTACGGTTATTCGTTTTTGAATCACAACAAAATAAGAAAATCACTACACGAGAAATCGAGTAAATATTCAATATTGTAAAAATTTGAATTTCAAATGGTCATTAAAATTTAATATGACTTTCTTATTGATATTTTTTTTTTTTTTGATAAAGATAGATAACCTTATAAGATATCTTGTATTACATTTTCAAATCTTAGATTTAAAAAGAAAAATTTCTAACTCAAAATAATTTGCACATTTTCGGGAGTGTTCCGTGTTTTGTCAACATTTGAACTTTAAATGCTTATAAAAAAAATGGTGACATTTTTAATATTTTTCAAATGTCATGGTAACAATATATTAAGAGACTTGTGTTAAATTTTCATTCTTTTTTACGCAACGAATACAAATGTATTGACATTCATTGAAAAAATAACAAAAAAAATTGGAAACTGGAAATGTCCATTAACAGTTCAAACAAGTCATATAATAATTTATCAATATTTTTAAAATTTTATTGTGTATAGAAAATTCTAATATAAACTACCAGTGAAAATTGTTTCTACTGTAATTTGTTTTAGTGTTGTTACTTGTTACACCAAAAACCAAAATCAATTTTGTCGAAAACCAATTTAGGGTAAAAATTCCGGTGTTTCCTTATTTTTTTTTTTTTGTTTAACCCGGTGCTTTTGAAAATTATTGGGAATTTTAAATGTTGACCTCCCCAATGCACCAACTAGTTTCACTTTCCCATCGAACAAGATATTGAAGTTGAAAATCGAAGCATTATTAGGACTACTTATCTTGTAGTTTGTACACAGACACACATTTTAAAAAAGATTAAAAAATTAAAAAAAATTAAATAATCATCATAGTAAAATCAATACTCAGAATCTAAAACACATAAAAATAATCACACAAAATATATGACAAAGTCATTGGTTAAACCAAAACTACAAATGAAGTGAAATTTATATCCTGGAGGACAATATTTTGAAATAATTGTAAAACCTTAAATTGTATTTAAACATTATTTAATTCATGCATATTTATTATTTGTAATGAGGAATAATATAATAGCGATATTACATTTTTAATATGTGGACAAAAGGTATTTCTTAATTATAAAAAAACATATTGAAAACATTTAATTAAACTAAAAATTAAACATAAATTCAATAAATAATTTAAAAGTGACTAATTGCACTTGTAATCTACAAATAAAAATAAAGTTTGAGGTTCCTCTGAAATTAACTGACGGTTGTCTCCTCCATCTTTATGATATCGTTTTTAGGGACATTTTTACTCATCTTCATTATTTTTTAAAAAATATGATTTGCACAATGCAGGAGTAGTTAACGTTTCCATAGCTACAAACATATTAAATAATGTTCTTTCTTTTATTGTTTATAGCAGTTTAATAGTAAATATATCTTAAATTTATAAATATTTTGCTGTGTGTTAGTAGAAATTAATTAAAATGTGATAAGGTAATAATAAGAATCACTCTCCCCAAGCGAAACCGTGCTTTTCAATCGGATTAATACAGGATAATTTGTTTTACTTCATATTTACATATTTCATATGTAATGCACTTGCAATGAACTCAGCGATCTATTTTATTAATTATACGTTGTGTCTAGGTACCCGGGTGCCCGTGTACGCAAAGTGTACGCAAAGTGTACCCATCCGTGTGTAAATTCAATAACCGGCAATAACAGGGCGGCAAACGTGGAAAAAACGTAAATCATTCACAGTGAAGGCCGCGTGACAACTTGCTCGCTGCCCTGCGCTCGGACAAAAAATCGAAAATATCCCTTGACTTCTTGTGCAACACTACCTCAAATTGATAACCGTCGTAACCACAGGGTAACCGTCGTATAAAAACTCTCATCACTCACAAAAAAATTAAAAATCAAAAACTATTATTACCTATGGCATAAAATTAATCTTGATATAATTTTAATGAAAAATGCTTTTTAATACATTCCACTATCTCACTCCTAATTAATATGGGCCGGAAAGTGTTCAAATTTAATTTTCATTGACTTTAGTCATAGAGATAGCAAATTTATATTTTCGTTTGTTATTCCAATGCTTTATACATTTTAAGAAGGATTGATAGTATATAATTTTCTATAAAGTTTATTATATTAGTTAGATATTATCTATTAGAATTATCTATCACAATTGAATTTTTTTAAAAGCACTTTTATTTATAACAACAACTATTTTTTTACTTATCCGACGCAAATTTTTGGGAGCATGTTCCCGGAAAATTAGACAATTTATGTCAAACATCCACTCACAGTGCACGCAGTATAGTTTTTTTTATTATTTTATTGAATCCAAAAAATTATATTGTTAATTAGCGTACACTAGAATACATACTATTAAATATATCCCCAAAAAGAGACATATGATATTTGAAGTAGCCTCCTGTAAAAACTAAAATAAACAATTTTTTTTAGTTATTGAAACTATTCGATCGTAAAATAATTTTACGGATTCAGTTTTTGACAAATCGATTTTAACTGTAAAATAATAACTGTAGGGATTTTAACTTTTCACCAAATGATAAAATATTATTTAAGTAAAAGATTCTGTATATTTAAAGTTGTTAACATTAAATTAACATGTTGAATAGTTTTAGAATCATTACTGTTATTTCTCCCTTGGCAATTTATAATTTAGTATATTCATAAGCCTATTAGGTATAACCTTATTAAATATACCTATGAATTATGAGTTTAATATAAAAATGTAAATGGAATTCATATAACTATATAAGAAGACATAATTAAGATTTATCTACTCACAAAATAAATAAAAGTATCCGAATATATTTAAAATCACCCAAATTTATAATATTTTATTAAATTGGAGTCATATTAATATAAATTAACAATTTCTTTTTAATTTTTTATAAGTTGAATAGGTTAAAAGAAGTAGAATAGTAATAGGTTACTTTCATATAGTGTTTCCCTTGGTTAGAGAGTGTGAAATAAGCCCTTAAAAAGTACTTAACTTCACAAACTTAAATTTAAAATAGTACATTAATTGGTACATGAAGTGAGTTTTATATATTTACAAAATACAAGTGTCTAGTGTCTATAGATTTAAAATTAGACTGAAATATATTTGTAACATTTTTTGTTATGTAAGGTAATTATTTGTATGACTATAGGTAGATAGTCACGATACTATATAATTTATAGGGATGGTTACAAATGTTAGTGACAAAATAATTTACTCTTTCCGAAGTCCATTTCTTCAGAACCAATGGTCCCTGTAAATAACATGATGAAATTAAAGTATAAAATACGTTATTAAATATGCTATAAGAACTACATTTTTCAATTATATTTATAAACATTGCAGTTCAGAATATTATATAAATTATCTAGTTTTCTTTTTCTACGTTGTGTCTACATAACCTAAAGGAAGTGAGTATTATTGTTCGTTTAAATTATAATGTACATATTATGACATTTTTAATAGTTTTCGTCATCAGTAAGATGACACAATAAACGTATTTTTTTTCTGGTTTTAAGGATATTGAATCTACAGATCATTTACGCAACGAATACCAATATATCATAATATGTCACTTACAATTCTGTGAGTACCTATTTTTTTTGATTCCTTTTATATTATCCCTCGTCTCTGTTGTATAGCCCGGATCGACTAAAGTCAATAAAAATTGAGCAAACGGTGATTATTGAGACATAATCGCTTCATTATTGGCGTCAATCTCGTAAGTCCGCCAGCAACCATTGTGAGTTGTATGAGAGGCCTCCCAGGTCGTCCAGGTGCAATACGCTGTGGATCAGCCAACCATCCACCCCCACCTCAGTCATTTTGGATCGTTCAACCGACATCGTAACAAGTGGATTATCGCTCTATGATTATTGCACCATACGTCCATACCGATCCGACCACAGAGAGAACCTCTCCCAAGTATAATTAAACTGCACAATCCTTTTTCCCATTGTATAGTTTATATCCTTAACAGTTTACACGTTCGTGTTTCGGTCAATTCCTTGTTGTCCGTTGTCGCGTCGTTGCTACCCACCAACACATCTTGAGGCTCGGTGTTGAATTGCCTATATATTGGAAGTAGGCGCTATCATACAGTCGTTTTCGGAAGCTTTAATAGTGCATGTAAATATGGTTGCCTACCCTCGATCCCTTAAATCTTTTCGGTAGATTCGCTTACTACAAGTTTAATCTTTAGAATGGTCCTTCGAAATGTATCGTTTACCATACAATGATATTAGTCAACATTTTAACTAATAAATTGTCATCTTATCACTAGTGGTTTGAATATAACTAAAATGTAAATTGTATCGTGGCGTCAATATGACATTCTGTTCCACGACAATCATTTATCCTCATAGGTGGTGATTGGGGGGAGGCTCCCCCAAAACGATCCTAGCTCCCTTACAATTATTTCATACTATCCTATGAAATATCGAGGTGTTTAAATAAAATAATAGTATTATAACCATATATTAGCTGGTAAAATTAAATTATGTATACCGCGTCGGTATGGAAAAATAAAAATTTTTATGTTTGTATATTTTGTGGTAACACAGAAAATTGTAATTGATAAATGATAATTACCGCGTTTGTACGTTTGTACGTTTTACGCATACGGTAGTTAGTAAATACGATATGACACTTGTTTTTTTTGTTGATTCTGAGCTGAGCTAGGAAGCTAGTGGTTTTACAATGGTGTTTATTTTTATATCCTGTATACAAAATTTCTACCAGAAGGAGTGCTTCGATTTCAATAAATAGTAGGTACCTTATATTTTAGCAAATTGGATCAAGATGGTACTTTAGAGTAGTCATTTTTCGATTTTCTCAAAAGTTATTTAATGCCACGGGAAAAACTACTGAAAAATTACGAAAAAACCGATTAAATTGGATTTTAATTTCTAACTATTTGCTTATCACCATAGCAACGAATAAAAAATTATAACATTGTAATATTAATTCAACTTAAAGACTATAATAAATAATACAAATTTAAAAAATCCAGACTGACAAACCATCTCCGCTCAGAATCGTTTTCCTTATATAATGATAGAATATCATTGAATACAAGTTTAATACAATCCATTATTCAATGACCCACTTGTAACCTACTGTACAGCAGAGCGACATCCATCGTCTCTTATTTTATTTTTATTTCAAAAGTTTCAAAATTTTTATTGAAATGTCTGATAATAAATTGAAATATTTAGGGATTTTTTTATAATAAGAAAATAATGAAAATACAAAAACTAAGAACATAGTTGAAAATGGTCAAAAAATAGCATCATTGACACAAAATTCGGATTCACTATTAACTAATGAATTTGATCACATTTGACACATAATTAAGATATATATAATCACAAAATAAATACAAGTATCCGAATAGATTTAAAAACACTCAAATGTATAATATTTTATTAAATTGGAGTCATATTAATATAAATTAACAATTTCCTTTTAATTTTCTATACTCTAAAGTGTCACATATATTCACTTATATTGCTAATATTATTATTTTTATTATTTTATTAAGTATGAAACTAATATTTCTCTCAAAGTGTTAGCAACGGCACTACACTATTCGGCTCATAAGTTACTGGCTTAGTGTTGTCCTTAGTTACAGGGGGCGAATAAGCCCTTACAAAGGACCAAACTTCACAAACTAAAATATAAAATGTACATGAATTGTTATGGAATATGATGTGACACATTTAAGTTTAATTGACAAAATACAAGTATTTATAGATTTAAAATTACTCTGAAATAATTTTGTAATCTTAGTATTTGTTGTTATATAATTCAGTAAAGGTATTTGTATGACTATAGAGTATAGATAGTCGCAATATTAACATTTGTAAGGTTTGTTACAAGTGGTAGTTACAAAATAATTTACCTGATCCGAAGTTCAGGCTTAATGAACCAATGGCTTCTATAAATAATATAATGGAATTTTAGTATAAAATAGGTTATTAAATGTGCTGTTTGTTGTTTAAATTATATTCATAAACATTTCAGTTCAGAATTCTATAAATTATCTATAAAAGTCTTACTCAAAATATAAGAAGTGGATATTTCATCTATCTATCTTTGCGTATTATACTCTTATTAGTATAAATTATAACTAACAAATTTTAATCTTATCAACACTGATTTGAATATAATTCAAATTTAAATTGTAACATGTGCTTCAATACGACATTCTGTTCTACGACATTAATTCTGTTAGATCATAGATTATTATCAGATAGTTATATTTTTGGTGTTGACCAATTTCAGAATTGGTGGATTGCGAAAACACCGGACCTTATATGCCTAAATCGCTGTTATGGTGTCTAACGTCCACCGTGGAGATCAAAATTATAAAAGGAAAACTTAAATAGTTGATTGATGGTTAATAGATGTTGGTAATAATGAAACGATTATGCTATAATATAATTAATATAACATTGGATATTTTAAAATTTTTATACCTATAGTTATTTCTTAGCCACTCTGAGTATTATTTATATTATGCTCTCTCAGAACCATGCAAACATAGATAATTTTCGTTCAGATGTACTAATTTTTTTATGTTATAATGTGCTATTAGAGTGATTTAACATATTATCAAACTTAAAGTTATGAGAGCATTATTTGTGATTGCGCGTTGGCTCTTTGGAATATATATCAATTTGTCTGTGATATATAAAAACTTTTAAATCGTAATATTTTATATACTCATACGATTAAGCAAAGGATATCGACGTGAATTGGTATTGTATAACTATTAAAGTTTCGCTTCAATAATTGTATTTTCTACTGTGGACGTTCGACACCATGAGTGCGATTTATAAGGTCTGGGTTGCCATTACAAATCTAAAATGGGGAAAATTCCACACTAAAATAATGCCTCTGTTACAATTCAAATATGAATTAAGTCGGTAATCAAATCAGCAGTCACAGGATCACAAACTGTTAGCCAATATTTATACTAATCACAGCATATGACGCTAAAGTTGAGACGGATACGCTTTGGACACTGAAATAGCCACTTTCTAAAATATAATTCAGTCCATACTTTGTCTTTACCTTGTTTAGGGTCTTTCAACAAAGCTAAAGAAGAAATTATTAAAAGGTTAATAATCATCAATATAGTATATTAGTTTTTGCTTAATGAAGTGAAATGGGTTAAAATTGAAAGTACAACTGTACTAATCTAAAGTACTGACAAGTGTTGTGGCCGGTCTTGGGAGAGATATTGAGAATTAAATGAAAAAAATGAAAAAAATTCTAATGGATTTGAACCCGCGACTCACGCACCAGATTCTATCACATTAAACTCGATATTATCCCACTAGGTCAGAATAGCAGTGCGTAACACGGTTGAGATAAGTACGCAGGGGCTAGGACCATGACATACGTCATACACTGATACTCCCCTCGTACATGATGTAACTACCGGTAAATAAAATATAAATATAAAAACTTGTGAAAAAAACAAAAAAATAAATGTTTTATTCGCACGAAATTATTTTTAAACTACTTATTTTCTACAATATACTCTTGTTTCTATTAATAATAAATTATTGAAACTTCAGTATTATTATGTAATATGTTAATGTTATTATACGTAATCTATAATAATTTACTTACCCATTTCATATGATGTTAAGAAATTTTTGTGTACATTGTATTCTAAGAGTTATATATAATATATGTTATTTATTATTACATAGAGTAGTTTCTCTTCTTATTCTAATATAATTTACATTTTGGTTTTTTGTGAATATTAATGATTCCTATATAACATCAGATATTTCGTTTAAAACGTGATGGTGGTTCGTTTTTTGCAATATTGGATTATTTAAAATGTCCCCTTAAATTTTTTCCAATTTATTATACAAGTGTGTAAAGATTGAGCGCATAGAATTACGTCAAAATACTACTCCGAGTTTGGAATTTTTTTCGAAAATATGTCAAGATCTTGTAACAAATTTAACCCCATTAATTTTTTTTTGTAACACAAAAAAAAAATCAATATTGGCAGTGCTAAATAAAGTGATTTATTTATTTATGTGATAGGTAGGCAATGTTTTTTTTTTTTTGAAAACAATTTAATTTTTTTTAATTTAAGATTTAAGAATTATAAATTTAATACAAGAAGAAATGTTTGTAAGTATTAGCTTTTATATACATTGGAAAATTTTTTAAATATTTTTACTCAATTAATAAACATTTTACATTTTCAAGTTTTACAATTTGTTTTTTATACCTATTAAAAAATATTTCTTTAGTTAAAATGCTTTAAAATGTAATAGACACAAGGTTGTTTTTATATGTATATAAGCACGATAATTGTATATGAATTTTAAGTTAAAATTTTGAAAAAAAAATGTGAAATTCATGGAAATAAAAATAATATTTTGCAGTTAAAACTATACAAAAATATTCGATTTTATAGCTAAGGCTTGAAAACTTTATACAATATTTCTCATAAATAGTTGATACTTAGACCAAAGGTCAATTATCGAATTTATATTAATCGATTTTTTATCTTTTGTTCTATTTCCAAAACGAATAATTGTATATAATAATGTTTGTTAACATAGTCAATAAATAATCATTAGAAATGCACAGCACTATAATAATATAATATATTATGTTACGCTCAACGTTTTATTCTTTCCTACTACATTTCATAAAATCAACTTTAGATCAACATTAAGATTTTTTTTCGTATATTTAACACCCTAGTGCTGGGTTTCATAAATAATTCATTAAATTTAATGGAACAATCGTGAGCCACTAAATCTTGTTTAAGCTCACTATTGATGCATTAAATGTTTTGTGAAGCCCGGAATTAGCCATTTTAATTCAAAACTAATGAATATGAATCTGCTTTCAGAATTTAATCGGTTTTATCAAGTTAGATACTACGATTTACAAAAAGTACCTACATACTTTAAAGAAGAAATTTTAAGGAATTTAAAGAAGAAAGATTATTATACTACTCATGGTACTTCATTGTCTATTTTAACAAACATTATGGACTCGGGCTCCCAATGTACAAAATTAAGATTATACATTGTAACTTACAAAAAAAGCTATCACGGTAAAATGTTTTTTTTTTTCAAAAAATGCAAGTTGCATTATATAATTCTAAACTTGGGATGTTGGTGTATCATACATTAGAGAATTATTAGTTAAATTCAATCCACGTCATTAAGAGGATGCTACACAGTAATTCATTGTATCCGTCTTATACAAGCACTGAAGTGCGTAACATAGCAAAAGTACTCTAAATTGATCACGTTTAGAACAGTTGGTTTAAAATTAGAGTGAATCGACCTATTATGAAACTTGATGATAAGAACATTATGTGTGATTTTATGTAAGTTTTTACGAGAGTTCAATTTTTTAACAAATTTTGAGAATAAATATAATATAGCGTAAATTAAAAATGATCATAGCTCTCTTAAACACTGAATTATAGTACAAAAAACATACCTACATACTAACACGGATAATTTTCTAACCATAAAGTTTCATAATTATAGATTTATTCACTCTAATTTTTAAACTAAAGAAGCTAAACGATCTGCTGACCGTATATTCAGTATGTTACGTACTTGTATGACACGGACACAAAAAATGTCCGTGTAGCGTCCTCTTAAGATCTCTAATTTCTAGAATATGCTTTTTAGCCAAATAGTTATATACTCACCGTGATACTTAAATGTTTTATTTTCAATTTCTGTTTAAAAAATTATAATGTTATTATAAACACAATTATATAGAATGAAGATTTTAAGGGGAAGAAATAAGAATAGTATATTCAATGAAAATGTATTTTTGTATTTCCAATAATATGATTTATTGAGCGGTTTGAAAGTAAATACTAATAATATTGTAGAATCTCTTCTTAATCTATGCCTGTATAAAATTCTAAAAACTATAAGACTATTGAAAATACTAAACTAATTTTCAGTGTTTCACTAAAATTCACATTTGCAAAAGTGTGTTAAGTTACTGACATGTGCGTGCAATTGTGGATGTGCTCCAATATTTATTTTGTACACATAGTCACTCACACTAATGATCACTTAGTACGCACACATTTACATGACCGACATGCACACAAATATAAAATTGCCTACATTGAACTCCTTAGTATTCATACCCCTTAACATTAAACGCTAAACGTATTATGTATCACCTATATTACAATCAAGCTTGGACAAGATAATAAACTTTTAAATCACTACAATTGAGCAAAGGTAAGTTGAATTGATATGTTATGTTCAAAATTGTACATGTCACACAATTTAAATAGGTTTTACTTAAAAATGTCATATTATCACAACTATTTCAAAACATTATAAACAATTTATTCTAAAAATAAGATATTAAACTTAATTTGACAATTGTTGTGTTTTCATGTCTTTCATTGGCATAAATGTGTTAAATAACAATATAAAAACAAAATCAATTTGTCAATTGAATAATAATTAATCATCTAACATTAACAGTTACATCAATAAAATTAATGCGGACATGAAAACACAAAAATAGTCAAATTAAGTTTACAGTCGATTACTGTCTACTGATTAGGTTAAAAAAATAATTACTTAATTCATAGCCTAATACCCGTTTTTCACATGCTAAAAGTATAAACAAATTATAAATTAAATGAATATTTGCTTATTTAGAAATGTATTTAATTCGACTTTGTTTACAGTAACATTCGAATAAATAAATAATACATTTATTAAGTATGGGTGTCTTATTGTGATGATTTTAGTGAGGTGTCCTAGGTCAAATTAAGTAGGTACCTACGTAATAATGTAAGGCTTGAAATTGAATATTGCTATTTGTTGATATTTGATAATGTTAATGTCAAAGGTGCTTAAAAGCAATATAAACTTATTCTTATAATGTAAAAAATATACTTGTTTTATTCAACTCTGTAAAACCTTATAATAAAATCGCTCTTTGTTTATAAAGAGTTTCCATTATAGAGAAACTACAATTATATGGGATATAGGTTATATGGGAATATTGTTATTTTTTGCTATAAGGAAATGTCTTTCTTATAGTCTTATAAGAGGTCCGTGTTCGCTATAAGGAGATTTAATTATTAACATAGTTGATTGAATTTCGTTTTATTATATTATAATAGGTGAAATAGTATATGAGCTTACCTCTAATAGCTGTAAATTTATAAATGTAATTCGTTTTAAATTATTAATGTTATAATTTATAAATTATATAAAAAAATTAGTGGACTTACATCCTTCCAGGCCTGTAAATTTATAAGCATAATAGTTATTAAAATTTCAAGTTATTAAAATACTATGATTTGGGATAAAGTTAATTAGTTTATTCAATAATATTATAAATAATTTCTGTTTTGTAAATAGTGAGATTCCAGTTGCGTGTTCAAATTCAATGGAGTAACATGTTCATCTAATCCAGGGGTCACCAACCTATTTATATTTTGGTCCGTTTTGAAATTTACCAAAATTTGCGTGGTCCAAACAGTTTTAACTACTTTTACACAAGTCAATAAATAGGTATTTATATTTTATAATTTTGTGATTATACTTATTTATTTATTTATTCAAATAGTATTTTAATTATAGTATTATAGTATTTTAAGTTAATAAATAGGTAAATATTGTTTAAATTTGTATTTATATTTATTTATTCAAATTGAATTTTTCCGTGGATAAAGGTCCGTAAAAAGAGTTCTCAAGGTATTCTTCTCCGTATCCGAACCGCGGTCCGCCAGTTGGTGACCCCTGGTCTAATCTTTAAAACATTAGTTCACTGAGATTGCACTAAATGACACCACCTCCAAGAAATAAAAAGAAATCGTTTTCCATACATTGAAAAACATATGAAAGAATTTGGTTTTATTATAAATTAAGTAAAATAGTATATGAGCTTACGTTGAAGAACTGTAAATGTATAAAATATGAATCGTTATTAAAATATGATTAGTGTTATGAAATATAAATTGTGTAAAAAATTAGTGGACTTACTTAAATCCGTCTCTGTAAATTTATAATCATAATAATTATTCAAATTTCAAGTTATTAAAATACTACGATTTTTAATAAAGTTAATCCGCTCATTCAATTCAAAAATATAAATTATAAATATTTTAAGTTTTTAATTTTGGTATTCTATGTATTACAAATAATGCAACTCGAGTTATGTGTTCAAACTCAACATAATAACGTTGTATTTTTGAAAATAATACTTTACCGAGATAACACTTAATGACCAGTCTTGTAAAAGATACTTTCAAATACTTTTGTTTTTTTTTTTTTTAAATGTGTTGTTACGGAACAAATACTAAAAAGGTCTTTCTCAAGACCAACAAAATATCTAATATAACGAGTGATTAGCATACATGTAATAAGGAGGACACATTGAAAAAAGTATAATTTATACAAATACATTTCAACGTTATGGCGAATGAAAAACACACTGATGAGGCAGCAACGAACAAACAACGGTGTGGCTATTATCCGTCATAACAGAAACTTCGACCAATCAGTACCGATATAGATTACCCAGAGTGTATATATACCGGTTCGTAGTTCTGTACGCAAAATGCAATGCAAATGCTGTACGCAAAACACCGAAGATAGCCTCAGCACTCATTCATCTTCAGACTCATGACTCATCCTCACAACGAATCCAAAACATGAATACCTCCCATCATACTCAATCCAGATCAATGGAAAAAAGTGCTAAAAAAATCATGCCCAAGAACAAAAGTGAACAACTTTACTACGCACTACTTTCTCCAACAACTCTTTCCGCCTTCAGGCCTCTGACACTGACATATTTTGGGACGTTCAGCGAACCCTTGCCAAACTCAATATCAACTTCCACACTTTCTCACTTCCATCCGAGAGGACCCTCAAAGTTTTGGTGGCAGGCATTCCAAATTTCTAATCTGAAGACGAAGTAAAAACTGAAATAGAAATACTAGGATTCAACGTTACCCACGTACGACAATTCCTCAAGGAGAGCAGAAAACTACCTATGTACATGGTCACTCTGCCATGCACCACCGACAGCAAAGAAATCTTCAACCTACACCAAAGCAGCCTCTCTATAAAGAGAAAATGCCCTCTAGAACTACAACCTGCCTCTACTCCACAAGTCGCAATCATCCAACCCACGTCGCTAACATACGCCCAAGCCTGCTTACCACCAAGGACTGTTCAATCTTCTCCTGTCATGAGCATAAACAAGACAAACTCAGACGTAATAAAAATCCTGAACCTTGCGATCAGCCAAATTGGGACTTCATCGAACTTCAAAGATACCATCCTTCTGGCCATCTCAGACATAGTCTCACTCATTAACCAAAATGACTGAACAACTAAAAATTCTACACTGGAATTGCCAAGGACTAGGTAATAAACAATTGGAGCTTCTCCAATTCATACATCACCACAAAATCCACATCATCCTACTATTGAGAACATCACTGTCCACATTCAAATCAATCACCACGAGACGAGGCTTCCAGCTGTTTACAAAAAACCAGGAACAATCCTGTAAACGGCAGACATCGACCTCCTGCTCCTGCTGGACACCGACCTTAAGACCATCATCGCGGGAGACCTCAACTCAAACACCCAACGTGGAACAGCAGATTAGCCAACCAAGCCTGCCTAACTCTCAAAAAGCACATGAATCACCGTGACTACATTATCGTCGCGCCTGACTCTCCGACTCGTATCCCTGACCAGCAAAACCAACTACCAGACCTCTCTCTAAGCGCTGTCCGTTAGTTAATAGGTCTATGGGTTTTACAGTGTACATTTTAGAAAGAATAGTGATAGAATTATATAGATTAGAAAGTAATATAGTGTTATACTATTATGAGCTTACCATCAACTGCTGTAAATGTATAAACGTAAATCATTATTAAACTATTAATATTATGATTTATAAATTATGTATAAAATGTATGCACTTACGAACACTCTTTTCTGCAAATATATAAAGATTAAACATAATAATTAATACTACGATTTGGACTAAAGTTAATCAGTTATTCAATAGATAGGTAATATAATAAATATTTTCTGTTTTTTTTTTTCAAATTTTGTAAATAATGCAACCCCAGTTGTTATGCGAGATGCAACATGACAATGATTCTGAGTGGAGAGTGTTTGTCAGTATTATTATTTATTACAAAATATATTTTAGATTTAATAGAAGCGTAAAATATATATACCTACTGATATTAGGTACTTTTTTAATTCGTTTTTAATCTTTTGTTTCTGCCATCACTATTATTGGGGCGGTAAAACTGTTTTAATGTTCAACTTCAGCATATTTTCTATTGAATTTTCTTTTAGATTCTAGTTGGTACTTTGAGGGGTGAAAAGTAAAAATGTCTTGTTATTTTAAAAATTAACTTGAAAAACAGAAAACAACCCGACCGTTTTTACGTAATACCAATTTTCGGCCAAAGCGATTTTGTTTTTCTGTAGTAACTAAAAAACGAATAACCAATGAAATTATCACTAAATGTGTTTATGTCCAGTTTCCATACACGATCATTTTTTAAAAATATTTGCACTCTTTTTAAGATTTCGTGTAATCATGAGAAATTTTCGATTTTTTTTAAAGGTTTTTTAAAATTATTTATAAAAAACTTAAAAATGTAATTCAAGGTTCCTTGTCAATTGTTATTAGAGCAATCATAAAAAATGGCTCAGCGTAAATCCAGAGCAAGATAAATAATTTGTTAAAATTAACCAAGGATAATAAATATTGAATCTAATATTGAATTAGATTCATATTTTTGTAAAACAATTTTTATTATTATTATTATTATTATGATATTTTAGTAACTCAGACTACTTATTAAAGTTTTGATTTAAATATATCAATATTTCAGGAGAATCATCCGCTAGGTAAATAATTTATGAAATTTAAAATTTAAAAATTCATAAAAAGTTCAACTTTTTGCTTATATGCAATAAGATTCCTCGTGAATAGGTTATTCTGTAACCAAAAAATCTAAAAACCCAGTCTATTTATATTGTTATTAATTTATGTTCAGATTTGGACGAAATTACATATTTAATAAATAATAACCAATAATAACAATTTTAGTTATTTTGTTGTAATTTTATAATATTAATTCAACTTACCGGTACCATAATAATAATAAGTAATAATATAAAATATCTACACTGACAAAGCCTCGGCTCAGAATCTTTTTTCGTTTACAATGATATTATATTATTGACTTCAAATTTAATATCCACTATACTGTGATCCACTTGCAACCTAGTGTACAGCACAGTGACATCCACTTACCCACCATTTTTATATTTATCCCGTCGTACGGCGCACGGGGTAAATAATTACACCAGGCATTTTAAAAATGTTTATAAAATATTTAATATGGTATGTGGATATATTTGATCACCTCAATAGCTTCAAATAATATTACAGTTATATGAAATATTGTAAAAAAAAATGTTTTTATAATTACTCTGTATAATGTAAGCTCTCTTTGTATATCTATATATTACGGACAAAGTGGGGTAGTCGGACATTGTGCACAGTGCCCATCAGTTAGGAAGTAATAGAATGATATATGAAATAAATTTGAAATATAAAAATATTACTAGGGAAATTATAATGTTACATCTAAATTTGTGTATAACATGTCAAAAAAAAGGAAGTACTACAAAAAAAGGTTTAGTTGTACGACCAATCCTCTCCTCAGAAATGAATTCGCGTTGCCAGATCGAATTGATCGACATTCAAGCTCAGCCCGATAAAATCTTTAAATTTATTTTGGTCTATCAAGATCACTTAACTGAATTTGTTGTACTGCGTCCATTAACCCATAAACGCGCAGAAAATTTTGCTTGCGTTCTATTGGACATTTTTACTACATTTGGTGCACCTTCAATACTTCATAGCGACAACGGTCGAGAATTTGTTAATACGATTATTAGCGACTAATGTAATATGTGGCCTGAACTTAAAATAGTTCACTGAAAACCACGACATTCCCAAAGCCAAGGTTTCATCGAAAGACCAAATCAAGACATTGAAAATATGATAGCTACTTGGCTTCAGGACAATAATACTAGAAGATGGAGTGAGGGGCTGAAATTTATTCAATTCATGAAAAACCGATGTTTACATCATGGGATTAAATGTTCACCATACGAGGCGATGTTTTGGTACAAAAGCTAAAGCTGTACTAGCACTTTATCACTTCCAAAAAATATTTCATCTATGTTGAAGACAGAAGAAGACTTAGAAGAAGCTTTAAAAAAAAGTACGTTTACTTATAATATTATAATACATTTTACTATTAAATGGATGTATTAAATTTAAAATATATATTTTTTTTTGGCTGTCCTACGTATAAATAATATTTTGATAAATATAATATGTAGGTATTAACATTTAAAAAAATATATTTTTAGCTGCCGTATGCCCGATTGTTGATGAACATGTTGAAGTTCAAGACAAACGTATGTCAAATATTTATTTATCTAATACATGTTATTAATATTTGTTAGCGGTGACGAATGATGACATTTCCGAAGGTGATGACGATGATTATGAAAGTGATGGAAGGGATGTATATTGTACAATTAATAACTGAAAATAATACGAAAATTGTAAAAGACAAAAGTATGTCAAATATTTATTTATCCAAAACATTTTATTAATATTGTTTATTAACATTTTTTAGCGGTAATAAACTATGGCATTTCTGCAAAACATAGATCTATTGATCAGAAAAGGTCCAGCTCATTTCAAAATTTACAAAAGCAAACTACGAAAATGAAATAAATGTCCGAAAATAGATTTTTCCAGGGAAAAATTGGCGAGAATGTGATGATAAGAATACCCGATGTAGATAGAGCAAGATGTGATCTTCGAAATATTCTAGATGTCATACTTTCTGGTAACTTAGAACTTTATATTTATTCTTGTTCATCAGTATAATTAGTATAAATATAAGTTTATACTTTATAGTAAAAGACAATTTGTACGAAATTGGGACCAAGGAAGGAAAAATAAACCAAATGTATAGTCGTAACTAATTTAAGTTATGCAAGGAGTCTTTTATAACGACCGAACAAGTACCTGAAAACATTATTTCTTTAAGTGAGGTAGATCGACACAATTCCAACTTAGGAGGTCAAGGATATACTAGATATGGTTGTACGCAGAAGTGTAAAACAAAAAAATGCAAATGTAAAGCAGCAGGTAAACTGTGTAACTCTAGGTGCACAGTAGCAACCCGTTTTCAGAATAACTACTTTTTAATATTATTAAACTAAAAAAACAAATTTAAATTACTATGTATACTAATATTCGTCTAATAAATAATAATAAATAAATGAATATAATATTTATTATTATATTGTATTCAATTTATTTAATTGTATTGTTTTAAACATGGTAGCATACATTGCCCTTCAAGGATTCGGTCATTGTACACAACGTCCGAGCAATGTGTTTTATTTTCACTTTAACCACTAAAATTGGGAATTGTACACAATGTCAGGGCACTGTGCACAATGCCCAACTACCTCACCTTGCCCGTAACATATATTTCCGAGCATAGGAGTGAGCACGGGGAGACCGGGTGGGCCGCGACCAAATGATTTATTATTAGGTATCACAGAACACTACTGTAATAACTATAACTATAATAATAAATAAATGTGTGTCCTTACTCAGGATGAGGTCTGTATAAAATATGTAATAAAGTAATTATAAATTAGTTACACATTTGGTATACCTAATGATAAATTTCATGAAAAAAATATAAGATGTTATTTTCAAAAAATCTTTTAATTATAATAGATTTAATATTAATATAGTAATATAGACATATTTTTTATCAAATAGAGATGTGGAGGCTATTTTCAAAAATAAATAGACATTTGTTCTGTCACAATATCATTATTTGAATAAAAACAATAGAGAAAAAATGTATTTTCAAGTTATGATAGGCATAAATAATACAATTATTAAAATAAATAGTTTATTAGATTTATTTTAACATGAAATTAATTTATTATATTCTACATACCTATAAAACGATCCCGCACATCTAAAAGATATATTAATATAATTAATGATTGTTTAAAATGTAGTATGTATTGTCGATAATTTTATTATTTATTATTTTGTATGTTTAGGTAAATTAAATAAGTAACTAACATGCTTGTTTGAACACAATAGAAAATGATTTATTCAATATTTTAAGACAAAACTATGAAGCAAGAGTACCTTCAAATCAGACACATATAAGTCCATATAACTATATCGATACAGTCACCTGCAGCTGCTTACCTTCTCAGTGTTGCCTAGCTTAGGTACTTTCTACTATCTCTCTTTTTTTATAACATGTATAACTTATCAAATTAATTGTACTCAAATTAATTTGTAATAGTTTTTACAAGCATATCATTTATGCAAACTACTTTAATAAGCTAAAGAATTTGGTTCAAACTATAATTTATACTTTTTCTTATATTGATAAACTGTAAAATATTAAAAACTAAAAATACTTTTTGTGATGAATACTTACATTGAAATTCTGAAATTATACGACAGATTATTATTTTATCAGGGAACACTGATTGAGTTTAGTTATTACAGTCATCAATGATGATCCTTAGTCTTTTTTTGATCTAAAAGTGTATTTAGTGTGTTCGATTTACAATTACGGGAAATGTATTTATTTATTTTTTGTTATATTATGTATAAACTTAAGGTTTATTTTTGTGTTTACTTACTTCTTGTTGGTACTGAAATTTTATACAGTTTATAATTTTATTAGTATTTTATTAGTATTTTTGAAGTTAATTTATTACACTTAGCAGCAATAATCCTTCATGTTTTAGGTTATAAAGAATGTGGGATATATTGGATTTATATTGAGTTTTTTTTTGTTATTTTAAGTTTAGAAATAAAAATTACTGTTTTTTTATTATTATTAACGTATTATATACGGTTATTATACCTATTTTCCTTTTATATTATACGGTATTGAACTTTGATACTTTGAAGACTGAAGTACGTTAAGTTATCGAAAATTAAACGCAGCTTATATACAGCTGATAAAAAACTTAAAATATACTAATAATTTCAGAAAACCTTTTAAAAACCACAATAACACAAGAATTATATTAGAGTATGCTACCAACCCTGGTAGGTATTAGGCACACCTTAAAATAATGTAAAGTACAGAATTCATATTTTATCTATATAACTTTTTTTTACCATTTGACAGTTGTATCATACAATTTCATAACACTGTATAATACAAATTTACATCTCTAATTGTGTTACATTATATGTCTGATGTCACGATTCGGAGTTAAATAGGTTTAACAATCCTCAACAGTGATTCTCGATCAAAAAAATTGAAAAATAATTACTGGGTTCATAATAAAATATTTTTACAATTTCCAGTATATTTATGTTTAAAATATATATTTTGCTAAATTGGATAATTGAATTAAAATTAATGATTTTTCTTTCAACGACTATAATTTTGATGTGTAACTTAAAATGTATAAACTATTTAGACTTCAAACTTTCCACCACTACGTATATTGTTATAGTCTCATATCTAGTAACATCATCAGGTATACATAGAGCTGTAAATTTTCATGAACATATTTTTGGTTGAAAATTTTCAAAAACTGAAAATTTTGAAAATAATTTTTTTGTTATGGAATTTGAATTATTTATTTTTTTAAATTATAGACCATTTGTTAATTATTGGTTTAATCATTTATTCACTTACCGACGTATTACTTATAAAATAAAAATGTTAACTGTTTAATATACTTAATTACTTAAAAATTTAAAAAAAAACCTAGATTTTAAAATTAATTGAATCTTTATTAGGTACATCAGTACATGAATTGTATAATACATTAATTATATTATATTAAAATACATTTTGGTATTTGCTTAAATCATCTGAAAATGTATATAGTTATCTTCTTCCTATAGTTGGTGTACTTAAAAAAAATATTATTTCATCAACTTTTACTGATGATGTTTCTTCAATGAGTGGAAAAATGAAAGTTATAGTGGACTTTTTATCACTATCGTTATTATTACTACACAAATCCAATTACAAGTTTTACAATTTTATTAAAAATTGAAAAATTGAAAAGAACTTGAAACCTTTCAGTTGTTGAAAATTTTCAATGTTGCTGAAAATTTCAATAGAAAAAAAAGTTTTCATTTGACAATTTTCAATCTTACAGCTCTAGGTATACATTAGGTAAACTTATAAGTTATATTGATAAATTGTACTAAATTAAAAATTGATATACGTTTTTTGTGCTTACTTACAATTTGCTGAAATTATAAAACTATGATTATTTAATAGTTTTGTTTAAGTTGTTATTGGTAGAGATCAAAATGCCAGAAAAAAATGTTTTTTCCCAGAGCCTCGGTATACTTGGAAAAATTTTAGATTATTAAAATAATACATTTCCGAAAAAAACCGAAGTTTTTGGAAAATTAAAAAAAAAACAGAATTTTTCGAAATTTGAAAACTTGTATTTACGCTTAAAATTAAAATAATCTATGTAAAAAAAACCATTTTAAAAAATAGATAAAGAAACCTGTCATTCTCATTTCACATTTGGCAATATGGTTATATCAATGTATTATTGTATTTAAATTTAAAATTAAACTATTAAAAAAATTAATATAAATATTTCAATATTTGTTCTAAAAATAACGTAGTTACATACCAAATTGGTATTTATGTGGGAGAGTTAGGTTTCCTATTTTCCCGAAAATAAATCACATGTATTTTTAAATGTTATATAATTAATTTAACTGTTAGTTGTAGAAAATATATAGACAAAGTACGATTGTCAAATGAGTAATGACAATATTAATTAATAATTATTAATAAAATACGACAATAAAACATCTTTTGCAGAAATGCGGTATTTAATAATGTATTTTTATATTATTATAAATTATTTATTATTATTTATCAACTTTTCAAGAAAAAAAACCAGTTTTTTTCGTCAAAACCATTTTTTTCCGAAATTTTAAATGAAATCAAATTTTCCCAATTTTCTGAAAAAATGGTAAAAACCCTTTTTTTTCGGACATTTTGATACCTAGTTATTAGTCTTATGCCTTATAATATTAATTCTTCTCAATTTATATTCTGATATAATGTGGAGTGTATTGGATTTACAATGACGGGGTAGGGGTTTTTCTATCATAATATTATTACCTATGTCAATTTGTATGCCGGTCGCCGGATATAGTGATATCACGTTTAATAGAGTTAAATACGTGGCCCCTAAATATAACCTTAATCTTCAACAGTGAATCTCTGGGAAAACATTTTAATATCTCAGAATAAGGTATTCTATAGTACCAATAGTTAAATAATATCGAAAATACATGGTCACAATTTTATTTTAGAGGTGTTAGAATTACATATACAGATAAATTGGATATTTAAATGAAAAATAATGATTCTAAATTGTACACAAGTAAGTTCGTAAAAGTTTGTAAAAGAATATTATTTAATTAAACTTTTTTAAACTACTGACATTTGTTAGAAGTATAAACACATTTTTTATAGTAATTAAATGTAAAAAATTTAAAATTTATATATGATTTCCATTACCATTTCTTTTCACTGAAATTATAAGAAAATTTATTATTTAAATAGTATTATTTATGTTTAGTTATTACACTTGTCCAAGATTATTATTCACTTTTTAGATTCTAAACACACCCAAAATAATGTGGAATATTTTAGATTTACAATGATGGATTAGGATTCTGGTTGTTATTGTTTGTTATTGTATGTATATTGCTATTGTTCGAAAAGTATTAATTACTGGATGTGATATAAATGAACCCAGGGGCATATCCAGGAATTTTTCAAAGGGGGGGGGGGTCCAATTTTTGTTAACATGTAAAAAGTATACAATCAGTGATTTGCACCTTAAGAATTTTAAATTATGTCAATTAATGGTGGAGGGGATCAGACCTCTTGGTACGACCCTGCTTGAATGCCTGTGCCCGATTTAAATCTATTTCCACTGTGATACAGCCGGTCAAAATAATTATTTTTCTTCTAACGATTAGTTTTCTTATTGTAATTTAAAAAATGTAAACCTCGGAGACTTGAAACTTTCCGCTAGGTACTACATATATTTAAATAGTTTAAACTTTAAAATATTTAGAATAATGGTAAGCTACTTATATCATGAAACTAGACCAACCATTCTTCAGTATATAATACTACTTTGGAAAAATGTATATATTTATCATAATTTTGATTATTATATAAACAAACTACATGTAAATGTTTTTATTTTAACTCACCTCCCACACTACAAAATTGGTATGGATTTACAAATAAAGCTATAATAAATTAATTAAAAAATATATTATGAGAGGTTATATATTGCCTTTTTTATTTACTGCATTAAACGCATTTTAATACAAATGAAAATACAAGTTACAACACATTTAGGAATAATTCCATAAATTATTAATGTAAATAGTTATAGAAACAGATTCATTTACGAATAATACTTACCATGACTATTTGAGTTACGGATAATGAAATAAAATGTTTGTAAAAAACCTGTCAGTAATATTTTAATATTACATAAATAATAGATTAAATTAATATTGTATAATGTTATAATTATATAATGTTTAAAAATGAATAGTTATTTTATTTTAAAATATTTATTTATCTATTCATATTGAATTATTTAATATCTATAGGTTGCTCAATAGTTTAGTGACCAAATAATTGAAATAAATTATTAGGTAGAATAAAAAGTATAGGCAATACGCAATACAGGCTCCTCTCAAAAACCTCCAAAACTTGCCTTTTTACTCAATATAGTCTATAGAGCAAGACACGTTAATCAAAAAAGAAATTTAGTAAGTTAACAGTTAAGTTAATGAAAAGCCAAAAGTAACTAGTTATGTTAAAAAGCTAAAATTTACTTTTTAACTTAACTTTAACTTTTTAACTCGTTTATGCCTAGCCTTGCTAAAGAGCAGGGGTCACCAACGGACCTCGAGCACTATTTTTACGGACCCTTATCCACGGAATAGTTTTTAAATTTGTATATTATAGAAACTATAAATGTGTCATATAAACCGTTTACTGCACTGTGTGTGTTGACGTTCTGTTCGTGTTCGATATTTCTAGTTATTATTAGTTTTTCTTGTACAAAGAATTATGAGAATGGAAAGAATAAAAAAGAATAGTAGAATCTGAAAATTGACAGTTTCTCCCAGAATGGACTAATTTATATTGCTTTACATTTATAAATAAATAAGTATAACCACAAATTTATAAAATATAAATAACTATTTATTAACGTGTGTAAACGTCATTGAAACTGTTTGGACCGAGCAAAGTTTGGTAAGTTTCAAAACGGACCCCCATAGGAATAAGTTGGTGACCCCTGTTATAGAGTATAGACAACCTGAAACACATATAAACTCGTTACTCATCACAATTCACAACCGCCTGTAAAACCGACACATGACTGACATATTATATTTAAACCTTTCCACGTAAAATACATAATCTCCCCATTTATTTTTCCTCTTTGAAAAAAAAACTAATTAAAAAAAATATTGACACGTTGTCAATCGTAGTTATTTTATCTATACTAAACCTTTTATTTGAGCCACAAACATATTATGGTTTGTTTCGTTGGATGGGTCATGGGTCGTAGAATGGTAATATTATCATGCTTAGTGGTGGAGGTTAATTATTACTACTTAACGTTACTGCAATCACTAGAGACTAAAAACACTCAACTCCTCATCATTATATTATATTATATTAAATTATCATTCAATATTGCTAAAGAACTACAATATATAATTTTAAAATACTCTAAGTACTTTCGTTAGGTATTAGGACGAAAACTTTCTCTAAAAATGTATTGTTCGCTACATTTTTTAGTTTTTACCAAGAGATATAAAATTAATAATATTGAATGAAGGTATTTTGATAAGGTGTAAGGGAAAATTAGTAATCGACATATTGTAACATCATTGCCTCCCTCCTCTCAACTGCTTGTGAATTCACTAAACACGATATCAACACCATAATGACAACAAGTGCCGATGATTGTCAACCAAATTTAAATAACCAATACGTAACAAAACGCATAGAGATAAAATTCAGAATAGTTTATACAGCTTATGCCTTATAATTAAGAAAGTATTCTAAAATATTATAGATTAAAAATTAATTTACGAATTTTTTCAGGTAAAGTCACATTATCAGTATTTTTTCGCTTGCGATTGATAGGTGTCGAATCATCTTGTGTATCCATTGTTGCATCATCATGATCAATTTCTTTGGGTAAAGTCATATTATCATAACTTGAGATGTTAATCTTTGTTTCCACGTATTTTATGAAATCCGTAAAGTCAGCTGAGATATCGAATTTTGCATGACAATGATCCGAAAATGTGAATTACCGAAACATTTATGGAAAAAAAATTCTGTTATTTTATTTAGAAATAGGCACCTGATATTCTTATAATTTATACAATTTACCACTCATAATTACTCACCAAATTGCCGTACAAAATTGTAATTATAAAATCCAGTATCAGCTATAAACAATATCAATATATTATACCGTTTATTACTTTATTAAGGTAAACACAGATTCATTGACGGTGTTAAAATATATCTTAATATCAATCATCAAATAAAAATTGTTTTGGTAGAATATATTATATACTTTTATACAGTCGTTCAAAAATTGTTTGAACTATTTTATCTGCTTATACCGTGTGTTCAATTTTAAAGGTAACAGGAAATATTTCGATCGTGTGACATTGAATTTGAATCGGGGTTTTTATACTGCATATAGGACTTATAAATACATATTTTTTTAATGAATTCAAATTTTTAATTTTTTTTTATCAGCGCATGCGCAGTAAAATAAAAATTTCTTAAATAGCAACCACTATTTTGGAGACCGGATTTCGATTTCTTTATTTTTTCTGAACAACTTTGATCTTTACAGTTTGTTGATATCTTCAAAATTGCCATGTTTATGACGGTCGGAAGTTTTAAAATAGTTAATTTGTAAATATTGCATTTTTCAACGGTCTATCTTAATTTATAGGTATTTATAGGTATTATTATAACAATTTATTTTTATTAAAACTACTAAATTATCTACTACTATTATCTTAATTTGTTTTTAATAGTATTATAATGAAAGTTATACTATTAACCTGTGTGAATAAGATATTTTGATAGCATTCTAAAATTGATTGTGAATAGTCAAACGTTTTTCGTAAGTCGCGCGTGAAACATTATTTTCTGTACAATGGCAAACTATTCCGAAAAAACCGATATGGTATTAATTTTTGGATAATGTCATAAAAATTCGCGTAACGCAGCGGCACTTTATGCTGAACGATATCCCGAGAGATATCATCCACCACACAATTATTTACGAATTAACTATTTTAAAACTTCCGACCGTCATAAACATGGCAATTTTGAAGATATCAACACACTGTAAAGATCAAAGTTGTTCAGAAAAAATAAAGAAATCGAAATCCGGTCTCCAAAATAGTGGTTGCTATTTAAGAAATTTTTATTTTACTGCGCATGCGCTGATAAAAAAAAATTAAAAATTTGAATTCATTAAAAAAATATGTATTTATAAGTCCTAGATGCAGTATAAAAACCCCGAATCAAATTGAAGGTCATACGATCGAAATATTTCCTGTTACCTTTAAAATTGAACACACGGTATATAAAATTAAATTTTAAATACTTGATCTGATAATACATAAAAAGCAGGTACGTGGATGTCGCTCTACTGTACAGTAGGTTGGCCTACTTGTAACCTACTGTATAATTATAAATAGAAAAATGATGGGTAAGTGGATGTCACTCTGCTCTACAGTAGATTACAAGTGGTTGCAGTGGATCACTGTATAATTTATTGTATTAAACTTGAATTCAGTTATATAATATCATTATATAAGAAAAACGAATCTGAGTGGAGACGGTTTATCAGTCTGGGTTTTTTATATTGTTATTATTTATTATAGCCTGTAAGTTGAACTAATAGTATAATACATTATTTTTTATTCGTTGCTACGGTGATATCCAAAGTGTTCGAAAATAAATCCCATTTTTAGTGGTTTTTCGGTTTTTCGGTATACTGTTTTAAACCAGTATTGAAATCAAAACCGTAATACCGAAAATTATTTTCAATACCGTCAGCCTTAGGCTGGTGTGGCTCGGTGGTTAGCCACAGTCACTAATGTGTGCTGCGGGAAAGCATGGTCTAGCATGATGGCGAGCATTGCTAGCTCCCCGATGGGTGACCACCCTACGATTTTTAGTGGCCAATCGAAACACATACACAGGAGCTTATCAACTTAACCCCCTTACAAAATGCTAATGGAAATACTTTCTGATGCTTAAAATTGATAAAATAAAAAAAAATAACAATACTTACATAATATAAACCCAACTTTATTGGAAATTTCTGTTAGTCATTTTCCAATATTAAAAATACAAAATTAGTAATCATATTAATATATTTAAAGAAATTATTTATGAACATTTCTATCAAATAAAAAATTTAACATAATATAAGTAAATTCGGATTCTCATTAAGCAAAACACTATGCTGTTTAAAATTACGATAGTTCAAAAGAAAAAGTAAGTATCTAAGATACGAATGGATATACAATTTATATTTGTACAAAAATATTCTTGCAGTTGTATAGTGGAAATATCAGCTATCTCTTCGTGTCACTGCACAGCTAGCAATATTATATAAATTATTTTATATTCCCAGTGGATGATGTAAAAAGGTTGGATTTACGAATCAAGTAGTACACGACATTTAGTGTATTTAGAGTTTTTCTTATTAAAAATTATTATATTAAATATTATTTAAAATTTGTTCTTTAGAAAAAAAAAATTAAAACATTTGTTCCATGTCAATCAAAAATTTAGTTATTAACCAGGACACAGGTATTGTAATAGCTGTTTAGTAATTTTATATAAATATATAATTAAATTATAATATTATACTTTGGAACCACATTTTTTTTTTACGATTTTTAGCCTCACAGTTCACAGTCTTCCACAGTTCCACAAAATGTCTATCTTTTGAGTATGTGCCTCAAATACAATCATTGTAATCGAGTGGTAGCAGTGGTAGTTTTGAGATGTATTTTTACATGATTAAATACACTATTGTCTCTAACACAGTAACATATTATGTATAAATTAATATAGTATCCATTAAATGGTATAGGTTAAGGATAATAAATAAATAAATAAATAATGGAAAAATATTAGTCAGTGCCAATGCTTTCGTTTTTTGATTAGATAGGTAACTAAAAGTAGGGACATAGCGCATACGAAAAATTAGTCAAAATATCATACAGATATGCATAGACTCCTATAGTGAATAAATTTAAATCACTAATTTATTATGGTTTTGTTATAAAAATGAATTATAAAAATAATTAACTATTTAATTTACTAATATTCCTTACCGATGCATTCTAAAAAAAATGAAAAATATTGCATTAAATAAAATTATTGGATATTTAAAATTGACGAATTCCATTGATTAGATATTATATACATTATACTTAATTATTATAAATTTATTATGAAACATATCGATTTCTTAATTTTGGTAGGTACAAAATAAAGCTCGATATTATAATTGAAAATTTGAAATACTTTAATGGTATGCCAAGTACAAAAAATGAAGCCACTTTACCATATTTATGTTATAATATATAGTAAACACATCAAAACTTGAAATTTAATTTCAATATTATAAATTTATGCCAAGTGCATAATATTAAGTTACTTTATCAACATGGACACATGGTTGTTTAATGGTTTGGTCGTTGGAAACGAATTAATAAATGTTATATAATTTTTAGTGTCACAATTTTTTGATTAAGTTACATAAGATATATTTTGATGAATTTACCATATACATATATTAATGTATATTCATACAGACATACGTTGAGTTGGAGTACAAGTATGTTGCTACTTGTTTCAGGACATACAATAATTATAATATTAGTGTTATAGGTACATAATATACTGTAATGTTTATTAAATAATATTATTTGCATATTATTTTAATACAATGATATGGGTAATAATATTGTTAGTTGTTACCTTCCACTTGTTTATTGCAGTATATTATATCAAATATCACCGTTAATATTATTAAAACTTTATATGAAATCATAGTTATTGTTCAGACTACTACAAAGAACAATTATAAACTTTACTTCAAAATGGATGTACTTAATGTGATGATATTCTTAATACAGAATAGGTACTATATTATTATATATTTCACATAAGTATCTATTTACTTAAGTGCTCACGCTTTATAACAACTAAGTAAACGTTTCATATAATGTTTTCGTAAACATCTGCATGAAATCCATATGAAGAATATGAGTTATAGTAGTACCTAGACATTAATTCGTAATATGGTGAGGTAAAATAAAAAATAAAAACCTAATTACACGATTGAACATAAAAAACTTTCAACCATGAAAATTAGTAATTACCAAACTATACAAAAAATATTTATATTTAATAACTAATAATATGGTAACTACGAGTTACACATTAACACATTTTAAGTTAATAGTTATAATAGTTCGAAATGTGTTAATAATTTTCAAATTTCATAGATCTGTTATAAAACTACGAACATGTTCAGTGGGGCCCATTATCTTCTTGAAGAATAAATAAAAATTAAAATTAAAAAAAAAAAATTAAGATCCTAATAATTTTTAAAAAATATTGTCAAAACCTCGAGTTTGGAGAAGGAATTCCTGCCCAAATACTTTGCGGATATTGGCAATGATTTTCAATATAGTTTTAGAGAATGTATTCGAAAAATATCACAGACATACAAAATAAACTATATTGCTAACTATGATAAGACGTGAATTTAAAAGTTAAGACTCACCGTTTAAAAAGACGCCGATGGGTCTTAATTTTACACTCATTTAATGTAGTCATGTAGATGATAAACAAATTTAGAAAACTCAAAATTCTTAAAAACAAATCATTTTCTATTATCTTATAAACACGTGTGATAACGATCATGTAGGTACCTCGATTGATATGGCGGCCAATAGCTTCAACCAATTACATAGGCGCTGTATCACAGTTAACAATCTAGTTTTTTCTATATACCTGTGGAAAATATAAAACCGTCGTTATATGGACAGATTTATATTAATTCGTGAAATGCATCAACTACCTCTTCTGGGGAATAAAATGCCAAACCCAAAAAAAAAATTTCAACCATTTCCCTTGTATTCATTGCTGTTGTCCATAATGTGACATGTAGAGGGAAGGGTCGCAACCAATCTTACAAACAAATAATTATATTTTATTGAACAATTATCACCTATGTCCTATATGGCTATATTATACAATACTATAATAGGACAAACGTTGTGAGAAACGTGTCAAGTCAAAAATGCTGATTTTTCAGGAGAAGAAAAAACCGTTTATATTCTAAAATTTTTGTTTTGTTAGAATTTACCGTCCCGTCATGAAGTGCTATTAATGAATAGCTTCTTCATAAAGCCAACCATGACCAATGACCTAAAATGTATTATCCCTCCATTATGCTTATTGTAATTATTTTTATACAGATTGTACAAATAAAACAAATAGGACTAAAAGAAAAAAAAAATATTAGAATAGTTATGTATGTCTCATAGACATATTTATTTTTAGATTTCCATTCAACTTTAAATCTTAAAGATCTTAAAGAATCTTTAAGTCTGATTTTAAGACTTTTGTAAGTGACTTGACATAAATGACACAAGCAATATTATCTGACTTGACACCTTTTGCACATATGACTTAACATTAATAACACCTCTGATTTAGTTTTATAGAAGTATGTGCTATTATACTATGTTGAGTTATAAGTTAGTAGGTACTAACCTTTTACAGAGAAGCTTTTCTTTTATTATACTCATTTTGGTGTAAACAATCTCCATAAAATCTATGATTGACTGATCAATACATACTTTTTTTTAAAGCTAGGTTCCTACTTAGTTTATTAACAACTTTGAAAAGAACAGTGTTAAAGAATATAACCTATATAAGAAAATCAATGAAAAAAATCTGTAAGTGTAAGTGTACTAGTACCTACACAGTATATTAATATACTGCAGTAGTTAGTAGATAGGTATACGGTATATTATAAATAAAAATAAAACTTAATATCTTACCTAATACACCACATAGATTTTGCATTGCAATAACATGATAAATATTAAAAATCTTATTAGGTACTTGAAATAGTACAAGGCAACAGGACATAATAAATAAATAAATAATAAAATATTGAATGACTTGACATGTTTCTCACGAAATTGTTTAATTATTTTTGACTTGACACGTTTCTCACAAAATCATTCAACAATTATTGAGCTGACTCTTTTCGCACATCAATATAACACAGAAACAAGCCATCGTATGTTAATAACAGTGTTACTACTAATCGATGCAGCGTAAAATTTCTTACAATTTTGATGTATAATATTAAATTGATCAAAAAGTGACTTGACACGTTAGTTATTTATTATATATAGGAATTATTTCTTAACTTTTTCCACTATGTTTATCCTAATTGAAATCTACATCCAACAAATATAATATTTCCAAACACATATTTAATTGCCTGGTGAGCTCCAATTTCAAAACCAACATGAAATGAGTTAATTTGTACATTTCTTTGCATAATTTTAAACAATGTTTTAAAAATTGCTACATTTTAATATAATATGAAGTAGACTTAGTTTTATTTTGTAAAAAAAAAAATAAACTTGAGGTGAGTTTAGTATCTATTTTTATACCCGTGTATTGTGTACAGTTGAATAAAATATTTTGGCGCATAATTAATTAAATGTGCCATTGTGCCGTCACCAAAATACTAGGTACAATAATTCGTCATGAATTTTAGATTTTGATACATAGTTAAACATACAAAATTATGATCAGTTGGCATGTAAATTAAATGTTGACCCTTGTATTTCAAACATTCTTCATTTTTTAAGTTAATTAATTGATAGTTGCTTTGACTGCTTTGATTAATTGTTTCATCTGGAGAAGTTGATAATTTAGAATAAGTCTGCTTCCATTTATCATGCATTACTTTTCTTGCATTTCTTACATTTTTATGATTTTAATTTGATGTTGAAGATGACTTTAAAATGTTCGTGCGAATAATCTTAATTGGCTGTGTGGAAATTAATTCTTTTGATTTTCTTTCAAAATTTGTGTTTCTATCTTCTTAGTTGAATCCTGCAAATGTGATTGTATTGTCCAGAAGTTTTAACAGCTCTATGTTTGTCTTAACCTGAGTATATTATCGCTGAACATTTATTATTGGTACAAATCCATCTCAAAAGATTATCTTTTTTGGAATCTTTTATTTTTCCCCAATGGTAACATATTATGTTTGAAACGTCGCATCTTTAATTGTCGGTATACTATGGATAAAACTATTATTTATTCTTCCAGAACTAATTTATTAATCGAAAGCATTGTCTATCAACCTAGACTCGCCTCACGGATCATGGCTTGCTTGAGTTTGGTAACGTAATAATACGTGAAAATAATAAATTACAAAATTTCAGCCACTTGAGCCAACGTCACATAAAATATTCAATGCTAAATGTTGTTAAAAACTAAAAAGGTATAAGTATTCTTAATCGTACTTTACCGAAACCAAAAGTCGTGACTCGTGAAATAACACTATAAGTACACAATAGGCGTGTAGTTTCAAAACCAGCCAAAAGCAAATTTTTTGAAAACTGGTTTTTTTCTAAATGGCCATACTCTATTATACAAGTCCTATAAAAGTATTGAACATAAAATAATGCTATAACTGGTCTAAGCTGACCAGGGAATATTTTGGTTGGTTTCAAATCAACTATCTGACGATGTTTATTTCAAAACCAGCCATAAAACTAGGTACCTATATCACTAAGTCAACTTCAAAACCTGCCATGTACGCCTACATAAAAATGTACAAGAATTTTTTATTAACTTCAAGACCAGCCTTATAGTGATAATTGCAACAAAACCAGTTATATTTAAACTATAAATTTAATATTCCTGTAATAATATTTTTATAAAATACCTGTTCGTACATAATATTATGTATACATTCCAAACCTTTGATTTCATATTTATTACAAATTCATAGAGTATTATGTTAAGGTCTTTTTTGTTTTTGTTGTTCCTGAAAAATATCAAAAATTGGTTAAGGTTGAATTTGAAACCACAAGTTTGCATTAAGAGAAAAATATAATATTATAAGTTATAATAGGCTTTGAATTTAATGCACTAAAAAACTATTAAATATGCATGCATATATGCACTAAAAACTGACAAAAATAAATGCATAAAAATATGCTCTAAAAGTTATTAAAACATGCTGAAAATTTTCAAAAATATGCAAAAAAACCAAAAAAGTAACTTTTATTTTAGATTCTGAGTGAAACAATGAATGTATTGATTTTACAATGATATGTGTTGTTTTTCATTTTTTTATTTTTGTGTCTGTCATCACTTTAGCACAGTAAAAATGCTTAGATTTTCTTCAACAGTATCTTTTCTGATAGGAAAGTGAATCTAGTTGGTACTTTGGAGGGTCAAAAATAAAAATATTGAAGTAGTTTTCGAAAGCGCCCTGAAAAACAAAAGAAAAATTAAGGAAAAACGTGAATTTGTACGCAAAATCTGTTTTCGAAAAAATCGATTTTGGTTTTTGGTGCAACTCTTAAACAAATGACCTTAAGTACATTAAATGTTGACTTAATGTGTATATTAACATTTTCTATACACCATAATATTTTCCAAATATTTTGACTCCTTTTGAGCTGTCTACGGACATTTTCAGTTTCAATTTTTTTTAGTTTTTTTTCTATAAATATCAATAAAATTTTATTTGTTGGTTAAAAAAGCTTGACAATTTAATAGAAGGCTCCTATAGCATAATTTTACAAAGGCAGATGAAAAAAATGAATAATCCATTGTCATAATTTTAGTCACATTTAAAGTTAAAATATTGACAAAATAAATTACGAAAATTTACAAATTATTTTGAGTTAGAAATTCATAAAAAATTTTCTTTTTAAATCTAAGATTTGAAAATATAATACAAGATTCCTCATAAGTTTGTCTAACATTATCAAAAAATGCCTACATGAAACTTAAATTAAATTTTTATGAGCGTTTGAAATTCATATTTTCACAACATTTGATATTCACTAGATTTTTCATGTAACGATTTCCTTATTTTGTTGTAATTAAAAAACGAATTACTGTAAATTCTTGAAAATTTCACTGAATGTATATATAAACATTTTCTATACAGTATACACCATACAATTTTGAAAATATTTTGACTCTTTTTGAGCTGTTAACGGTCATTTTAATTTTTAAATTTTTTTAGTTTTTTTTTCTATAAATATCAATAACATTTTATTTGTTGGGTAAAGATGCGTGAAAATGTAATGCAAAGCTCCTGGTATATCATTACAATAGCAGTTGAAAAATATTAAAATACATAGTCTCAATTTTTTTTATAAGCATTTAAACTTCAAATTTTGACAAAGTTCATCACATTTAAAATTTAATAATAATTTTGTAAAAAATTTATAAAATTTTCAACTTTTATAGCTAAGGATTGAACATTTAAAACAAGATTCCACGCAAATAGGTTATATATAATTTACTTTATTCACCAAATATATCATCAAATATATTTCGTAATATCATAGGCTGACTGACCGTTTTCGCTCAGAATCGTTTTTCTTATACAATGATAATATATCATTGAATTCAAATTTAACACCATCCATTACAGTGACCCACTTGTAACCTACTGTACAGCAGAGTGACTTTTTATTTTTTTTCATTATAATTTTTTATTAGTTTTAGTTTAAATATTAGTATTGTTACATATTGATATGACTCATATGAGTATATGACTTTTTGGGCTTGACTAGTCTAGATCTTCGTCGTATACAAGATCTATAAAAGAAATATGCTTAGAATAAATTATGTTTCTACTTAAAATTATATATTTTTCCTTTAAAGTTGTTATTGCATAGTACGATCAACAATTTTCTTATTAGATATTGATACTTGAAAGACCTCCTGTTTGGTGGCAACAATATTTTATATAAAAAAAGGAGCGTTTTACGTCTGACGAAGTTATTGGGGCAAACTTTAAATACATCATGTCACTACTGGTTAAGTCTTTAAGGCCAGTTAATATTTTTTGAAATATTACACATAATTTGAAATCTTTTATTTTTTGTTGAGAACTGTTAAATCTCGACTTCAATAGTACAATAGTCAAAAATACGCGTTAAATACCCGAGTAAAAGTACAATTGTTTACATTGTAAATGCGGTAAAAGCGTCTTGTAAAGGCATCTACGAATACTACTAAAATACAATTGTCGAGGTTTAGGTAGGTACCACTTCCTAATTTTATATTTATGTCGTCCGGCATTAAGCCATAAACTAGTTTACAATTTAGATGTACAATTTACTATTGAGATACCTAACGTATAATAATAGGTGGTCGTCAAAAATTACTAATCTTGTTAATTTAGACGAAGCCGATAGTGTTTATACTCGTCGAATATCAATGAAATAATCAAAAACTACTAAGCTATGTTCAAAATAAATACCAATTTACCAAATATGTAAAAATATGTATTATTTAATACCAAAATATGTAAATTAAATTTGGGTTTATTTCTATTACAATTTTCTCAATAGTACATTCATACAATTTTTTTTATCAAGTTTAAAATATTCTATTAAAATAAAAATATGTATTTACAATAAAATCTGTTCCCTAGTTATAACATATAAAATATAATACACGAACCGGTTGAAATATTACAAACGTCGAGCAATTTAAAAATTGTAGGTACACTGCTGCGTATAAATGCGTTTGCAGTCGCGGCTCGTCAAGGGAGTGTTTGAGACGGTGACTTCCCATAAAAAGTAGGAACGCTATAAAAAAAGTTTGAAGAAAATTGTATTATAGTTTAATATTTTTATACATTTTGAAAATAATTATTATGGTTTTCAATGTTAATATTGATTATATATTATTTTGTAGGTATTCTATTTTTATATTAATAATGAGAAGACGGGTGTCATTCAATATTAAATCGAGCACATAGAACGTGGTTTATGTGCTCGGGCCTAAAAATAATACGGTCGAAAAAATCGATAAAGATGACGGTCGTTAGTTCGAGAGTCAGTCGTTCGAGAGATTCAATTGTGTATATACATTTCATATGCATGACAACAGACAAGGCGGAGGACGAGGGTATATTGTATAGATGTTATTCAATACATTGAGACTAGACTCATTCAACATTTCTGCAGTTTGCATCTCGGTCGTCAAGTATTTTTCTATAAACACGAAAACCTACAAAGTGTCGTGCGTCTGAATTATTTAGCTATTCGATATTGAATCGCCGAGTGTAGTAGTTATATTATTTAAAAAAAAAGAAAAATCGAATTAGAATACAAAATATCATAAATTATCTATTCTTATAATTAAAAAGCTATTACAATAATATTATAATAATAAAAAAAAAGTTTTTTTTTGTCATTTTTGTAATAATTTTTTTTATTAAATTTTCAGTCTCCCAAATGAAATTACTTGCGAGCTGCCAGTGGGCATTTGAGAAAAATAAACAAATAAAATAAATAAAAAACAGAAAACCAACAACAATGAAAATACCCGACGTGTCTTGGCACATGTTTTGTTGTCAAGTTTTTTTCATTTTCCTTACCTTCTGAAGCACTAACTTTTTGCACATAGGCACATATGGTATTTGAACACCACAAATAGAATAAACACTAAATAAAACTGATTATCATATTATATGATACTCAGCCCAGTTTCATAAAACTACTGGGCACACGTATGATACTCATGGCGTCGTGGCAAAACCAGTGAAATTGGTAGGGCAATCAACTTGTTAAAAACAGCTAATTACTTGAAACCGATTGAAAAACCGTTTAGATTTCGATTTTGTATACCGGTTTTTATTTTTTTCGATTTGGTTTCAATTTTTCAATACCAGTATTAGGAAATTACGGTTTTGGT